ATAATTAATAATAATCTATTATGGAATGGAATACATATTTTAATAATTATTAATTACATATTGTACAATCAATTTTCATAATAATATTTATTTATTTACTATTATTAACAACAGGTATAAAGGAAAACTTATTTTTATCTACAATTTACAAACACATAATGGTCCATTATTAATATTATTATTATTATTATTATTAATTAAATGTATTAATTTAAATAATATACATATTAATGAAAACATATTTTAATCCACAATATACAAAGATTATTAGTATTATTATTAATAACAACAATAAAATAATATTATTATAATTTTTATTGCTGTTTTTGTTGTTTTTAACAGATATTATGGAAAAGATTTGCTTATTTAAATATACGAACACTGCCTTTTATTATTATTAACATGTATTAATTATATTAATATACATATTTATAAAAAAGTTGTTTGCTTATTTTAAAACAAACATTATTATTTATTTTTTTTATTATTATTACAGGTATTAAGGAAAAGTTGTTTAATAATCTACAATATACAAACAACATTATTATTATTGTTATTATTATCATTAGTATTATTATTAATAACATGTAGTATTTATTTAAAATACATATAAACGAAAATGTATTTAAATACACAATATACAAACATTATTATTTTCATTATTAATAACAAAATTCAAAATATTATTATTATTATTATTATTATTATTATATTTTACTGTTGATTTTGTTATTATTAACAAATATTAAGGTAAAGTTGTTTCCCTTTTTTAATATACAAACAATATATTTATTATTGTTATTTATAATAATATACATATTAATAAAAAGCTGTTTGCTTATTTAATGCACAATAAATGAACATTATTGTTATTATTAACAGATCTTAATGAAAAGTTGTTATTTATTTGTTCTTATTAATAATAATAGGTATTAAGAAAAAAGTATAGGCATTAAAGAAAATATATGAACAACATTTTTATTATTATTAACAATAATAAAAACATTACAAGAAGAAGACGAAGAAGAAGAAAAAGAAGAAGAAGAATTCTTATTATTATTATTAATAACAACAACAGGTATTAATAATTTTTTTTTGCTTATTTTAATATACAAACACAAGATTATTATTATCATTAACAATGATAAAAACAACCATAATATTATTGTTGCTATTGTTATTATCATTATCATTATTATTATAGTTGTTGTTTTTATTCTTCTTATTAACACATTAAGAAAAAGTTGTTTGCTTATTTGACACAATGTACATTTTAAAAGTGCTATATAAACAAACATGAATTGAATTATTTTAATATACAATTAATGGATAATAATAATAATAACAATAATAATAATAGTAACAATTTAAGTTTGTTTTCGTGCATTTACACGGGGCTTTGGCGTCAACGCTTGAGCGAGGTCTATCTGTAGTTGGGGCTGAGGCGATCATCATAGCAGTGTCAGCCAATGAAATTAGTTCGCAATCAGCTACTGTCTGAGCTGGGTTATTTGCATTAAGTGATCTGATTGCTGACGCTTCCGTTGGTGTTTGAGAAGTTGAGAAATTCCCAACTTCTGCAGTGAGCTGATGGATCCACAATACAGTTCGGCAATGTCAATGTGACGTCAAGGTCACCAATTCAAAGTGAAGGGGAATTTTTGGCGCTGACGCCCTGTGTAACTGGGGCGTTATGGTTAAGGTTAGGGCTAGGGTTAGAAGTAATACAAGAAACACATGCACACAGTATTGCATGTTAGAATATTATTATTTCTTTTCAATTTGTACTAAACATTACACAAATAAAAGAGTTTATACTGATCAGAACAAACAATTGTTGTTGATATTGCTGCAATTTAGAACAGACAGACAGACATACATAAATGTATTGCCATGATTTCTTTAAATATCAACAAATATAAATAAATAATCATTATTAAAAGTAATTATCAGTCCTAAACTGAGATATTCACTATTAACTCTGCTTTATGTCTAAACACTGCTGGAGTTTTTTATAATTCGTATAATTTTGAGTGTCACACAGTCTCCTGATGTGACTGCGCTAAATTATGTTAAGCTAATACCCTAATTTAAATGTAATTTCCCAAACTTATTGAATAAAAAACGCACATTGTGTAACGCTGTCATGATTAATGATGTCTGTTGTGTTGAAAAGTCATTTAAAAGAGCTTACACCAAGAACGCAAACATCTAATTGTCTGTTGTCCAACAATTAAACCACAGAAATCTGTTTCTCATATGGCCCATAATGGAGATTAAGAAGCCAAACCAGAACAAAACACAAGGAAAACCATTTGTCTCGCTACGGACGCCATACAATCCTCACTCCGTCTGCTGCTAATGAAACGTCTTTTTGAGACAAGACAAACGTCTGCTTCACTCATTGTACATTACTGTCAGCTTTACAGGGAAATCTATAAATCGCTCTACATGTAAAAGGCGTTTTAATGCAGACATCTGTGAAGACTCATGGGAAGATCTGCAGTAAAGTCACCTCCACATGAAGCTCGGTTAATCTTAGCCTGACGTCAGACTTAACCACATTTCAAGGATCTTCTGTCAATCAGATCATTCATGCGATTCGGGGTGTAAAAACAGCTGCGGGTCTCAAGGGTTGGCATGATACCAGCATTTCTGAAGCTCAAACAAGTTACTAAAATGCTCAATAGAAAGTCAAGTAACAAACTTAGCATTCAGATCTTATTCAGACCTTATTTAGATCTTAATCAATGAGTAAAATGCATGGAGCCACTCTCAGATTGACATTTGTCTAGAAATGAATGACATAGAGCCAGGGACGGAGCAAGCTGAACTGCCGCTCTAGGCAGAGGACGATCACACCGCCCTCAACCCCAATGTGAAAACGAAAGTGACCGGTTATGAAAATCAAGTAAGGTGTCGTGGACCTCTATTCTGCCGCCCTATGCGCAGATATAACAGAGGACGTGCGGGTGCTGAGGGAGGTGTCGCGGACGCCGCTCTCTGTATTCTGCCGCCCTATGCGCGAATATAACTGAGTTAGGACGTGTGGGTGCCGCGGACCTTTATTTTGCCGCCCTATGTGCAAATATAACTGAGGACACGCGGGTGCTAATGGAGGTGTCGCTGACGCCGCCCTCTCTATTCTGTCGCCCATGCGCGAATATAACTGAGGACGTGGGTGGTAAGGGAGGTGTCTCGGACGCCGCCCTCTCTATACTGCCGTCCTAGGCGGCGGCCTAGGTCGTCTCTATGGACTCGTCGGCCCTGCATATAGCCTTGAAATTTGGTACACTGGAAAAAATGTCTGTTAAGAACTAGAATCTACAACCATATTGAAATATCTGTAACATTTCTAGAGTTAGAGGTCTGCAAACCTTGAAAAGGTGTATATTTGGCATTAATCAGAGAAAAATAATAGTCACATTTAGATCCCTATATTGCTTGAAATTAACAGTTTTTGCCACAAAAAAATGAAGGTGCCAAAAACACCAGGATTTCTTAAGTAAAAAGTTACTAAAGATGTTAAATAGAGAGTCAAGAAACATAAACTAGCCATTCAGATATTATTCAGACCGTACTCTGGTCTTAATCAATGCGTACAATGCATATGGAGCTGCACTCAGATTGACATATCACTAGAACTGAATACAATAGAGCCCTAAAATTTGGTACACAGGAAGAAAAGTCTGTTAAGAACCAGAATCTACAACCATATTGAAATATCTGTAACATTTCTAGAGTTAGAGGTCTGCAAACCTTGAAAAGGTGTATATTTGGCATTAATCAGAGAAAAATAATAGTCACATTTAGATCCCTATATTGCTTGAAATTAACAGTTTTTGCCACAAAAAAATGAAGGTGCCAAAAACACCAGGATTTCTTAAGTAAAAAGTTACTAAAGATGTTAAATAGAGAGTCAAGAAACATAAACTAGCCATTCAGATATTATTCAGACCGTACTCTGGTCTTAATCAATGCGTACAATGCATATGGAGCTGCACTCAGATTGATATATCACTAGAACTGAATACAATAGAGCCCTAAAATTTGGTACACAGGAAGAAAAGTCTGTTAAGAACCAGAATCTACAACCATATTGAAATATCTGTAACATTTATAGAGTTAGAGGTCGGCAAACCGTGAAAAAGTGTATATTTGGCATTAATCAGAGAAAAATAATAGTCACATTTAGATCCCTATATTGCTTGAAATTAACCATTTTTGCCACTAAAAAATGAAGGTGCCAAAACACCAGCATTTCTGACGCTCAAAGAAGTTACTAAAGATGCTAAATAGAGAGTCAAGAAACATAAACTAGCTGTTCAGATCTTATTCAGACCCTACTCGGGTCTTAAACAATGCGTAAAATGCACACAGAGCTGCACTCAGATTGACATATCGCAACAACTGAATACAATGGAGCCCTGAAATTTGGTACACTGGAAGAAATGTCTGTTAAGAACCAGAATCTACAACCATATTGAAATATCTGTAACATTTCCAGAGTTAAGGCTCTGCAAACATTGAAAATGTAATTTTTTTTTACATTAATTGGAGTATGTTTCTTGCAGCTGTTTTGATGAAAGTAAACGTGACAAGTTTCAATATTATTAATCTTCCAGACATTCATTTTTTTTTTATAAAAAGTACTAGCTTCATGTACAGTGATTATTTGCATTTTAAACAACAAAATGTTTACAACTTGAACATTGAGATCCCAATATCTCTTGAAATCAGAAATAGTAAGTATTAAAATTATTAAAAACTAAATAAATAGTAAGTATTAAAAACTAAAATGCTACAAAAACATTTAAGAACCATCATTAAAAAGGAAAATTAGATTTCATTTCGCATTTAGATTTCTATTTCTCTCAAAAACAATAATAAAATTAGGATTTCAATGAGTCTAATGTTCCTGGAAGTAACTTCTTGGATAATGCATGGTTATCAATGAGCAATGTAGTCATGTATTATAATGAATGAGCAGATTTTCTTACCGAAAGCAGTGTTGCGATTGGCGAGGTTGGAGTAGGCGTTTCCGGAGGGCGAGGAGGTGGCGGGGCTAGACAGAGGGCTGTAGGATGACGGGTCTGCCTGATAGCTGTGACTGGAGCCGATGCCAAATGGAGACGATTGAGCCTTATTAGACTGAGCGGGAATCTGCTGCTGAAGGAACGACAAGAGACATGAAGAGATATAACACATAGATCTAACAGAGACCATATTAGACCTATTAGGCTAAACTCCAGATCCACAGCTTCAGTCTATATGTGTATGTATATATATATATATATATATGTATAAATATATATATATAGTTATATATATATATATATATATATATATATATATATAGTTTTATATATATATATATATATAGTTATATATATATATATAGTTATATATATATATATATATATATATTTATATATATATATATATATATATATATAGAGAGAGAGAGAGAGAGAGAGAGAGAGAGAGAGAGAAAACCGCTCTGAACACACACACTTCTTTTTGCCAAGGACTACATATATATATGGTTGAGGTCAGAATTATTAGCCCCCCTGAATTATTAACCCCTGTGTATATTTTTGTCCCTGTTCAACTGTTCAACTTGCCTCGTTACCCTAATTAACCTAGTAAAGTCTTTAAATTGAATGTTACGCTGAATAGTATCTTGCAGAATAACTACTAAAATATTATGAGAAATCATCATCATAAAGGCTAAAAAAAGTTGTTATTAGAATTTATTATTTGTTGAAAAAAAAAAAACTCTGCTTAATCTGCTTTTGGGAAATATTTGAAAAATAATACAAATTTCAAAAGAGAGCTACAAAATTCTGCCTTCAGCCCTTTCATTATATTTAACTTTATTTTATTATTACATTTTTTTGTTGTTAATCTACCCAGTTTGAAAGAAATGTGTGCTTTTATTCAGCAAAGGCACATTAAACTGTTGAAAACTGATTTAGTTCATCCAAAAAATAAACAATTCCACACTGTTTACTCACTCAAGTGGTTCTAACCTTTTATTATTTTCTTTCTTCTCTTTTATTCTAAAGAATGCAAAAAAAGCAGTCATCGACATCACTAGCAAGAACTAAAAATACTATGGAAGCCAATGGCTGTTTTATTCCCAACATTTTTCAATATATTTTCCTCTGTGTTCATCAGAAGAAAGAATCTCAAAAGGGTGGGCAAATGTTCATTTTTAGGGGAACTATCCCTTTAAGACATTATTTCACACTCTATTTAGCAGAATAACAGCTTTTACAAGACACAGAGTGATCCTGAAAAATTCAACTTGGTTTCAGACACAATACTTGGCAATATAAATATATATCACACACATAATTGGCAAACCATTACAACTGGTTATTTTAATATTACCCCTACTTAACCTTCAATACATATATGGTTTATTGCTCTTTGGTGTAGAATTTGTGGTGACCTCTGTCACTTCTTAATTCTTTACTTTATCCTTTTTATTCTTACTATTATTATTGTTGTTGGCATTATTATTAATATTATTATTAACAACCTCCTGTATTTCAGTATTTTGTTTATTATATATTATATTTTTGTGTTCACATAATTTCACAATAAAAAATGGTTATTTATTTTACATAGAGAACAGCCTTATCGAGGTCAGAAAAATTAAAATCAACTTTTGCACAAAAAAACGGCCACTTTATTAGGTACATCTGTCCAACTGCTCATGTACATACATTTTTCATCAGCCAATCACATGGCAGCAACTCAATGAATTTAGGCATGCAGACATGGTCTAGATCAGGGATGTCAAACTTAATTCCTGCAGGGCCGCAGCCCTGCAGTTTAGTTCCAACCCCAATTAAACAAACCTGATCAAACTAATCGAGTCCCTTCAGGCTTGTTTGAAACCTACAGGTAAGTGTGTTGGAACTAAACTGTGCAGGGCTGCGGCCCTCCAGGAATTGAGTTCGACATCCCTGGTCTAGATAATCTGCTGCAGCTCAAGCTGAGCATCAGAATGGGGAAGAAAGGTGATTTAAAAGACTTTGAACTGGGGATGGTTGTTGGTGTCAGACGGGCTGGTCTGAGTATTTCAGAAACTGCTGATCTACTGAGATCTTTACACACAACCATCTCTAGGGTTTACAGAGCATGGCCTAAAAAAACAAAAATATTCAGTGACCAATGGGCCCAAAGTGTGCTAAGAAAACATCCCCCACACCATTACACCACCACCGCCAGCCTGAAACATTGATACAAGCCAGGATGGATTCATGCTTTCATATTGTTGATGCCAAATTCTGACCATACCATCCGAATGTTGCAGCAGAAATCGAGACTCATCAAACCAGGCAACGTTTTCCCAATCTTCTATTGTAGCCTAACGAATTGTAGCCTCAGTTTCCTGTTCTTAGCTCACATCAGTGGCACCCGGTGTGGTCTTCTGCTGCTGTAGACAATCTGCCTCAAGGTGTTGGACGTGTTGTGCATTCAGAGATGCTCTTCTGCAGACTTCAGTTGTAACGAGTGCTTATTTGAGCTTCTGTTGCCTTTCTTTCAGCTGGAACCAGTCTGGTCGTTCTCCTCTGACCTCTGGCATCAACAAGGCATTTGCGCCCACAGAACTGCCGCTCACTGGATATTTTCACTTAGAGACCATTCTCTTTAAACCCCAGAGATGGTTGGGCGTGAAAATCCCAGTAGATCAGCAGTTTCTGAAATACTCAGACCAGCCCATCTAGCACCAACAACAATGCCACGTTCAAAGTCACTTAAATCCCCTTTCTTCCTCATCCTGATGGTCAGTTTGAACTGCAGCAGATCGTCTTGATCATGTCTACATGCCTAAATGCATTGAGTTGCTGCCATTTGATTGGCTGATTAGAAACTTGCATTAACAAGCAGTTGTGCCTAATAAAGTGGCTGGTTAGTTTATATATTCACATTTACTTTTTAAACAACTAAAGAAAAAAACACAAAAGACTCATATGATGCCATTATTTATCATATATTAAGTAACATTTTAATTAATTTATCCATCTACAAGTTCATCCATCTTAGCCCTCGTGTGAAAGTAATTCTTCTTCAAATATTTCCCAAGTGCTGTTTAATGGAGTTTTTTCAGCACATTTTTAAACACAATAGTTCCAAGAACTATTTTTTTTAAATGAAAATCAATTCAAATGTAAAAATGCCTTTGACTGTATATCTCTACTCTCTTCTCTAATCTCTTCTGACACGATCAAACCTTAAACTATTAGAAAATGCTTGGCTGGATTCAACAGTGATCATATAAAGGACATCCTCGGCCTTCAAAACAAGCTGTTTATAAAGAAAATCATGATGAATCTTAACTGACTGAGAAAATAATACAGTAGTCAACATTTAAAGTGAATCAAAAAGTTTTTCGAAATTGTCAAAACAAGAATGGACATTGCTGAATTGTTTGAGACATTCTTGATGTAATGGTTTGATCCACTGCAAATGTTGACTACTATATATGAACGGTACAGTATTTCTCCTGAAGTGCCTTACATTATGCAGTTATTAGTGGCGTAGTGGACGTTGGAGGTGTTCATTTTGTTAATTTAATTAAATTGAAGCTAATGGAGAAGAGGGATGCAGGAGGAATCGCTCTCACCTGGCCGGAAAATGGAGGTCTGTTCCCGCTCCAGGACACCTGTCCCGTATTGATCTGCCGGGAAATCTGGCTGAGGTTCTGTCCAGCTGAACCTGCTGTGGACTGGATGTCATTCACACCCGGGACGTGGATCACAGAAGAGCTGAAACACATTAAGAGAGCAAATTCAAGGCTTTTACACACCAGACACACATTTCTGACACAATCAAATGTTAAACGATTAGAAAAAAAATTATGGGAAACGTTTTCTGACTCGCTCCTCCAAAACACCCCAAAATGGCTCAATAATATTTGGTTCTGATGACTTTGCGGGCCATAGGAGATGTTCACCTACACTTCCATGTTTATCAAACTACTCTTTTTCCAGGCTTGCTGTGTGCATTGGTGCATTATCATACTGATGCAAGATACCACCTTCAGGATACAATGTTTGGGTGTACATGGTCCACCAGAATTAGGGGTGTCAAAATTAATCGTTTCTTCGATGCACCGCGATGCAGACGCAGACAATTCGGTATCGGTTCAGTAATAATCATAACCAGCTATTACTGACGTCATGTACCTCATATGCGCTTTGTCGCGAGGGAGACAATCGCGAGTATTTACAACGCTCTAACTACTTAATACTCATGAATTGTGCACAATTTCACTGTGTGTGTTTGAGAATGAAAGTAGCCTACTCCATTTCTCTCTCTCTCTCTCTCTCTCTCTCTCTCTCTCTCTCTCTCTCTCTCTTTCTCTCTCTCCTCTCGCTCACTCTCGCTCTGTCTCGCTCTGTCTCTCTCTCTCTTTCTCACACACACACAGTGGCCTATTTGACCTGCTGGCGTGGCTTTTCTTTTCCTCTCGGCTGTTTTACAGCGTTACTTTTGGATACAGAAACGAGCGCGTGTATGCAGAGTTTTCTCCACCGTGTCTATCATACATCAGCTGTGAGATCGCCGCTGCCGCCTGCTGCTTATCATTCATCTGAAGAGCGCAGCGCGAAAGAGCCAATCGCAACCGTTTTTGTTGAGGGTGTAACCAATCAAAGGGGTTAAAGAGAACTAGACAAGGATCAGAAATTGAGCTGGATATTTATATTTTATTTGTTTATATTATTTGCTAAAAGCTCGTTTTTTTTTAAGTTACAGTTTATATATCTGACTGTTTGTATTAAATGACACAATTGTATTACAAATAATAGCCTATATAAATATAAATATATTCATACATTTTAATACAAGAGCTGCTGCTGTGAAGAAAATATAAAAGCATCGTCAATGCACCGTGATGCACCGAAATATCGAATTGAACCGAATCGACGGCATGATAATCGTAACCGAACCAGACCGTGAGACTAGTGTAGGTTCACAGCTCTAACCAGAATAGTTTGGTAGTCTTTGGCAGTGACGTACTCATCTAACACAAGTATTGGACCTAGGGAATGCCATGATATTGCAGCCCAAACCATCGCTTCACTCTTGGCATGCAACAGTCTGGGTGGTGAGCTTCTTTGGGGCTTCTCCAAACGGTAACTCTCCCGGATGTAGGAAAGACAGTGAAGGTTGACTCATCAAAGAACAACACATTACATTGTCCACAGCCCAAGATTTCCACTGCTTGCACCACTGAAACTGACGTTTGCTATAGGCACGAGTGACCAAAGGTTTGGCCATAACAACCCGGCCATGTGTATTGACCCTGAGGACCTCCCGACTAACAGTTTTGGTGGAAACAGGGAAGTTGAGGAGCACATTTAATTCTGCAGTGAGGTGGGCAGCTGTGGTTTTATGTTTTTTGGATACAATGCATTTCACACAGCTTCCTCTTTTTCCACAGTGGCTCCTTTTGGATGTGATTTGACCTTCTAGGTGGTTTTCTGACATTACGCTGGATACCATGTCTCTTGATACATCACAAAGACTTGCTTTCTTGGTCACAGATGCGCCAGCAAGATGCGCACCAACAACTTGTCCTCTTTTAAACTCTGAAATGTCCCCTATAATGTGGCATTTCCCTACGGTACAGCCGCGGGAATGCAGACCTCTAGTTCACCCAAACAGATTTCTTGTGGCGCGGGAATAAATTTCAGAATAAAACGCGATATCGGTAGGTACCAGGGCTTAACATTAACTTTTTTGACCACCAGCCACTGTGGCTAGTAGTTTTCCAACATTACTAGCCACTCGCCATTTTCACTAGCCAAAATTTTATTGTTGAGAAAATATATTTTATACACATAAATATGACTTTGACATGCTAAAATTATTTCATTTAGAGTTTGCGTTTTCTCAACATGTCTCCTCGTTCATTTAACTTTTTGTGTGTCATGTATGAGCTTGCTCAATAATCATGAGCAAATGGGTCAGGGTTTCATATATTACAATTAGTTTTCATAATTTTCACAGCCCAAAATGGAAGGATTTACCCAATTTATCTCTGACCACACCATAAATAAACAGTTAATTATTTCTTAGCCACAAATTTTAAATGTGTGAAAACATGCAAAATATAGCTGAATACTGTACTTTTTATTTAACAAAACATATGCACAGTCGTGTATTCTGGCTAAAGGTCAGATCACCAGTTAACTACACATAAATGGGGAGTTATTCTCCCATTAAAGCATTGTTATTGTAAAAAAATAATAATCAAACCATATTAATGCAAAAGAAAGCAGGTAAAAACATACTGTGTGATAATGAAAGGATGATCACACACACGCATGGTTAATGATAGACCCAAAAATTATCTTTTCAAAGAATGGTTAAACCGAAAGCAACTGGCGCTGCTTACAATAAGTCAACTCTGGAACTCTGGAAAGCAGCAAGACTGTAGGTAGGTGCACGTTCCTCCCTTTTTGTTTAGTCTATTTGAAAGAGAATCGATCGCATCAGTTTCTAGACACAGTTGCTTCACAAAAGGAAACGGGAGCGCGCACGCCTTATAAACAGTCGCGCGCATCACCTCAGCTGTTAGTGCGAGTGATTATCCTCTCATTCGGTTCACCTGCTTTGCTCGAGCGAAGTTGCGAATGCAATTATTTTTGTCAGTCGTGTTGCTTCTTGATCGCCTGTGCATGCATATTAGACCATCCTTATTGTCGAACCCTGCTTTTAAGAATTATTATCTGGGAAAATTATTTTCAACCAGCCAAAGTGGCTAGTGGGAGTGTCTGTCTTAACCCCCACCGCCGAAATCTACCCGCATTTGGCGGGTGTTAATGTAAAGCCCTGGTAGGTACCCCTGGTGTGATTTGACCAGGAGCGGGCGGTCTAAAACAATAGCGCTCTTGAGAGATAGCTAGAGAGAGAGAGAGAGAGCATGCACGCATCTGCCGTTTTGCTGTGTGTCACTTGTAATAGGTTGTCTGGACTCTGTAGCATCCAGCCAGGGGTTTTTTAGGAGACATATTTAATCGCTATACATTTGACTTTCTTCGTTGGTCCAATATGTACCTGCTGTGTGTACAGAAATAATGCTGATATGATATATGTAACACAATCTGTAGTTGGCAAACATATTGAGTGGATATGTTTGTAAATCTGACTTTGAAAGAGGTAGTGCCTCACCAACCACAAACCTCACCAAACGTCACTGCTTAAGGCAGCACTCATGTCTCATCACAAAGAGGCAAACAAAACTGACATTTAGCCTGCAATCCTTGCACAACCTACGCATTTATCTGTTATCTCTCTCTCTTTTGGTAGTGCCTAATTTAAATGTGAGATTTTGGAAACCAGATCTAAATTTAGGCAGAAACTGTCGGGTTGTGTAGAAAACGGGGAGGGTCGGGCAGCGGGTGAACAAAGGATGAATATACAGCGGGAGCAGTCGGGTGTGGAATAAAACCTGATGGGATCGGGACTAAAAATTCAGTCCCGCACAGATTTTGAATGTGTACCTGAAGCTCTTTCCGGAGTGTCCTGGCTGAAACGGGCTGCCCTGAGAATACAACTGCTGCCCGCCAGAGGTGGATGAGGGAACCATCATCTTCTTTTCAGCTGAACACACATAAAAACACACAAAACATCATCATCGAGAAGCTCAAATATGACAGAGAAACATCACATTACAGCTTTATCTTTGGGATCACACAGAGGAGACAATAAATTTGTAAAATAAACTAATTTTACAAATACTACAATCTACATGATTTGACAAGAATAAAGACAAAAATAGAGGACGTATATACAGTTAGGTCCATAAATATTGGGAAAATACTGGCATAATGAGGGAATAACACACACCTGACCATCGAACAGCTTAGAAGCCAACTGTCCCGTTACTTTTGGCCCCTTAACAAGTAAGAGGCACATATGCAAACTGTTGTAATTCCTACATTGTTCACCTGATTTGGATTTAAATCCCCTCAAATTAAAGCTGACAGACTGCAGTCTTTCATTTCATTTCATTTTCAGTCTTTTCATTTCAAATCTATTGTGTTGTTGTATAGAGCCTAAAATGTTAGAATTTTGTTGATGTCCCAATATTTATGGACCTAACTGTATATAAAATTCGATTTTGTTTCTTTTGTAAATGTAATAAAATAATTTAATATTTCAGTGGGATAATAAAACTGTAAATAAAATTATAGATGTATAATTATTATTTATTATTATTATTATTATTATTATTATTATTATTTTACAGCTTGAATTGCTGTTCAAGTTTTACATAGAAAAATTCATCATATATACAGTTGAAGTCAAAATTATTAGCCCCCTTTGATTTTTTTTTTCTTTTTAAATATTTCCCAAATGATGTTTAACAGAGCAAAGAAATTTTCACAGTATGTCTGATAATGTAGAATAGAACAAAAGCAGTTATTCATTTTTAAACACCATTTTAAGGACAAAATTATTAGTCTCTTTAAACTAAATTTTTTTTCAATCGTCTACAGAACAAACCATTGTCATACAATAACTTGCCTAATTACCCTAACCTGCCTAGTTACCCTAGTTAAGCCTTTAAATGTCACTTTAAGCTGTATAGAAGTGTCTTGAAAAATATCTAGTCAAATATTATTAACTGTCATCATGACAAAGATAAAATAAATCAGTTATTAGATTTGAGTTATTAAAACTATGATTAGAAATGTGTTGAAGAAATTTTCTATCAGTTAAACAGAAACAGGGTGGCTAATAATTCTGACTTCAACTATAATATATATATATATATATATATATATATATATATATATATATACACACATACACATATAAATTATTTTTTTTGGCAGTGATTTATAGATTTGCATGGGTTTAAAAAAAATTGCACAACAACATATATCTATTTTATTAGCACTGTTATTATTGTAAATAATATAGAGCCCAAACTACAGAGGAATAAGCCAATAACTGGCAAACACTGACACTGAATCAGTGCATAACCAGAAACAACAGACTTTTACAAGCTAGAAACCCTCAGAAGCTCAATCTGACCTATTTTAGTTGGAATTTCTGACTTAATTGTCTTGCAAACTCTTTGTAATAGCAACCAAATGCACCAAACATACAGTGTTTACAGTGTAAATCATGCAGGAATTGTATTTGTGAGACTTTAACTGAATTAGCTGAATCTCCAGTGAATTGCATGTTAAATTTGCGCTGTAGCTCATACATGTAGAGATGCCGGTGTAGATGTCGCTGAATCGTGGGTCTCTCTCCTGTGAAAACAGAGATTCAGTCTTGTCGATGCTTTTGCCGGATTCATGAACACCGGCTGAAACACCGGACACAGGAACCTGCAAGATCAGTAAACACTGTCAGTAAAAATTATGATGATACATGCAAAATGACACATTTAATAAACAAATAAATATAGCCACATTTCTCTTCATGTAAGAAGCCTGAATTACATTTTAAGTAAAATATTAAGCAGCTTTTAAACATTTAATATCATCAGAAATGTCTCTTGATATATCCGAACTTCAATTCATTTCATTTCATTTCAGTTAGTGCAAAATTCAGCAGCCAGAGTTCGTACCAGGTCTAGAAAATATGATCATATCACCCCGATTTTATCCGCCTTACACTGGCTGCCTGTTAAGTTTCGTATAGATTTTAAAATATTGCTTCTTACCTATAAAGCTTTAAATAATCTAGCTCCTGTTTATCTAGCCAACCTCCTGTCTTGCTACAATCCAACTCGCTCTTTAAGATTTCAAAACTCAGGGCTTCTGTTAGTACCCAGAATAGCCAAGTCTACTAAAGGAGGTCGAGCCTTCTCATTTATGGCCCCCTAAACTCTGGAGTAGCCTTCCTGATAATGTCCGAGGCTCAGACATACTCTCTCAGTTTAAAACTGGATTAAAGACCTATCTTTTAAGTAAAGCATGCACACAATAACAACAATAATAATAACAACAACAATGCAAAACGTTTGTCATCAATATTTCACAGTACTTTTAATTATTTTAATAAAAAGTTCAGCTTATTATTTATAAAACTAATTTTAAATATATTTAAAAAAATATATTGTAATAATGTTCTACAATATTCAGGTTTTTACTGTTGTAAATTCAGCCTCGATGTACATAAGTGACCCTAAAATACATAAATAAATAAAATGTTTAGCATTAACTAAAACCAAAGCATATTTTTTCTTACATACATTCAGCAAACTACCAACATGAAGCTAATAAATGCTAAATAAAATAAGATTCACTGTCATCACAAACCCGAACGTACAACAACGGCCCGAAAAAAAGTATAAAATAGCTATGATGATGATGATGATGATAATAATAATAATAAATATTAATATTAATATTAAAACATTAATATTAACAATAATATATTACAATAAACATTACTATTAAAATGATAATAATAATAATAATAATAATACAAAAATGTAATTACAAATAATAGTATTAATCATAACAAATGTAAAAAAAAAGAATTACAAATCTAAAATAGCTACAATAATATTCTACAATATTCATGTTTTTACTGTTGTAAATTCAGCCTTGATGAACATAAGAGACCCTAAAATACATAAATAAATAAAATGTTTAGCATTAACTAAAACCAAAGCATATTTTGTCTTACATACATTCAGCAAACTACCAACATGAAGCTAATAAATGCTAAATAAAATAAAATTCACAGTTATCACAAACCCGAACGTACAACAATGGCCTGAAAAAAGTCCCAGACAGGCGTTAAACTCTGACACAGATGAACACGCTCTGCTTCGTCCCATGTGTACAGTTATTAATCCTCTTTGCTTTATTAAGACTGACTCCAGTGACCCCGTTAATATAAACAGCGTATGATATAACAAAACATTATCACCTATGACTCAAAGCAAATCTGTGTCAGGCTGTAAAAAGCTGTTCAGCAATGAGGCCAAATTCTATAATATCTGTGTGACTTCATCTCGCAGTTATGTCCTATTTTTACACACACACATACGCACACACAGTTAACACTTTACAGACCGTTATGACTACAACAATGCAGTTTCTCCACTGCCTTAATCAGTCATTTATTTACTTATGTAAATGTGTGTAAACATTTAAAATGGATTTTGCTGCTTGTTCAACTTACTTATTCAAAATGAGTTGAAACCGCACAATTCTCAAGATGTTTTGGGACACTTTTTTATGTCCAATACACTTAAATATGTAATTTTGATAAATTTGCAAATGTAAATTTGTGTTGGGACCATACCTGCCAACATTTGCCTCTAAAATCTAGGAGAACGGGGAGGTGGGGGGGGGGGGGGGGGTCAAGGGGTGCTTTGATAACTGAATAACACAGCTGAGAACCGGGTAAGTAACTGTACTATGAACTGGGTTTTGGGCGGCCGCTGCGATCGGATACTAATGTGACAGTCGTGAGGTTTGGTTAACCAGTGTCCACTAGATGGAGGTGTTCCATGATCTGGTATTTTTCTGGAGTTTTGAACAGGTGCGGTGTTTTGCCATGATTGACGTTTGGACCAGGTGTGGAGTGTTACTTGTGATGTGCGTTTGGATAAAAACCGAGAGAACAGGACTGCGGGTGTTCATCCTTCCCTCTTCAGTTTTGGAGTTTTGTTGTTTTCTTTTATTTATATTCATGTATCATTTCACTTAATTTTTGATTAAATATATTTAAGTTGATTTGATTTTCTGGTTTGGATCTTTATTTGGTTTTGTTGCTACTTTCTTGAGCCAGGAGGTTGTAACACTAAACAGTACCAAAGCTGGCGACCCAGGGATGTTACAGATTGTACCAAAAAGCTAAGGACCGGGGGGATGAGGGGTGTAAAATTATGGGAGTTTTCCGGGAGAAATAACAAAACGGGAGGGTGGCGGGAGATGGGTCTAAAATACAGGAGACTCCTGTGAAAAACGGGAGTGCTGATAGGTATGATTGGGACAACAAGAAGAAACTGTGTGGAAGCCTGCATTTTTTTAGTGCAGGGCCAGATAGTATCTGCAGACAATTTACACTCAAGAAAATGATGTTTGCCCTTTGTACAAACTACTTTTTGAATAAATTCCTGAGCATTTTTAGGGACAACTTAATTTTTTATGTTTATTTAAACTCATAAATACTAATAATTTAATTTAATTCCTTCATGTATGTAAATTTACAACATTTGTATTTTCATTTTAGATATATTATCGAATAACATGCATAGGGTTTAAGTACAATATAGTTTGTAACTTTTTTTATATAATAATATAGTATTTTGATTTGAATATGTCTTTTTCAAAATAACTTAAATGATTTAAGCAAAGAGTGAAAAATTAAAGAGGATCTGAATACTTTCCGTACCCACTATATATGTCAGGGGTGTCCAAAGTCGGTCATGGAGGGCCGGTGTCCTCCTGACTTTAGCTCCAATTTGTTTCAACACACCTGCCTGGACGTTTCTAGTATACAAAGCTTGATTAGCTTGTTCATGTGTGTTTGATTAGGGTTGGAGCTAAACTCTCCAGGACACCGGCCCTCCAGGACAGAGTATGGACACCCCTGGTATATGTGATATAAATATAAATAAACATTTTCTTTAAGATATGCATGTATGTGTGTATTTATATATGTTTAGAGTACACACACATATATTATGTCAAAACAAACTTTTATTTTGTATTTAATTAATTAAAGTAAATTATATTAGTGATATAAAGATGACAAACTTCTGAGTGAAACTTAATAAAGCACTTCAGGTTAACTCCATTAAGTCTTCTGAACTATTAAAAAGCACGTCTAGAGGATTCATTTGTCCTCCAGGATCTTGATTGGCTGATTTTCATCTTGCAGTATAAATGTTAAACAGGCTGAGCTTTGACATTGGTTTAAGAAGGACGTGCAAATGCAGTAAAGGAGCATGAATTAAACCTGCTCCATGAGCTAAACAGGGCAATAATGCATCTGTGAGGTCAGCTGAGGAAATGACGGTGTGTGTTTATGAGAAAAAAGTGTGTTTTTACGCACCTGCGACAGGTCATACGCAGTGAGTCCGTCTCTCTGGTGAACCTCCAGCTCGGCCTGCTGTTGCTGCTGGAGCTGCCTGCATGAACAAAACACACACATTAACACCTGCTGTTAGATTACACACACCACATATCTATACACTGATTCAGTTTAGAACAGATGAGCCATATGCAAAACACTTCAAAGTGTATGCTTTAGCTTACATTTATTTTAGCCAAAATCACTTATTGGGATGTATGTAAAAAGTTTTGTTAAACTAATGCTCATGAAGGAAAAATAAAAATTAATAAATATTATTATGAAGTTCAATAACAACAAAAACAACAACAGAAAAATTTAAATTTAAATAATAATTAAAAATATTTTGATTTTTAAAATATATTTTTATTAATACAGACTACAAAATATAAACAGACAATTACTATGTTTTATATAAAATACTACTCAAAGACAACAATAAATTAAATGTTAAATTAAATAATTATATTACATATTACATTAATATCAAAATGCCAATATCATTAATAATCATAAATGTAATTTCAAATAATATTAATAATAATAATTTGTTCACGATTATTTTTTTACTTTTGTTATTGTTATTAAATTTACAAATATAAAATAATCATTAATATTATGATGATGATGATGATGATTATAAATGAAATATTAACAACATTTAAAATTGTAAAATGATTTTTAATGAATATAATTAAACAAATATTGCAATAATAATAACATTACTAATAAATGTAAGATATATTACATTAAATGTTAATATTAAAATGCTTAATAATAATAATAATAATAATAATAATAATAATAATAATAATAATACTGACCATTAATACATGTAATTACAAATATTAATTGTAATAATCATAACAAGTAAGAAAATCCATTTTTTACACAAAATAGCTATTATGATGATTATACTAGTATAATGATAATAATAATAATAATAAATAATAATAATAACATGAAATGAAAACATAAAAATGTAAAAAACATGAATATTCACAACAATATATTATATAAAGTTCCTATTAAATTATGATGATAATAATAATAATAATAATAAATATTATTAAAATAATCATAACAAATGTAAGAAAATATAATTACTGCAAGTATAAAATAGCTATGATGATGATGATGATAATAATAAATATTAATATTTATATTAATATTAAAACATTAATATTAACAATAATGTATTACAATAAACATTACTATTAAAATAATAATAATAATAATAATAATACAAAAATGTAATTACAAATAATAGTATTAATCATAACACATGTAAAAAAGAATTACAAATATAAAATAGCTACTGAGAATGATATTAATATTATTATTAGTTTAAATAAAAACATTAATATTAAGAACAATATATTACATTAAATTTTACTATTAAAATAATAATAATAAGGATACTAATTACAAATATTAATATTAATAATCTATAGAATTACTATTACAAACATAAATAGGGATTATGAAGGTATTAATAATAATAACAGTAATAGTAATAGCAACAACAATAATAATAAAAACATCATTAGTAACAACAACAACAACAACAACAATAACAATACTACTACTACTACTACTACTATTAATAATAATAATAATAATAATAATAATAATGTTTATAATAATAACAGTAACAACTACAACAACAATAATAATAAATGTAAGTAAATATAATTATTGCAACATTGTAAATATAAAACAGCTATTATTATTATTATTATTATATTCAATATTAATACTTTGATATTAACAGTAATCATGCTTTTGAGCTGAACTGAAATTCCCTTCAGAGAAGCAAAGCTCTTTCACTATCAAACCTGAGCTTCAAATATACCTGCAAATGAAAAAGGAGGCGCTTTCCTTATCTGAAGCGAAGCATATAACCTCAAATAAAAGAAAGAAAAAACCCTATTAAATCAAGAGCTGGTGGGAAATTGCCCATGAAAGCACACATGGAGGCAGACATTAGTGCTCTGAAATGCGCGCACACACACACACACACACATATTCTGGGATCAGACGAGGCCACCTGGACCAGCAGAGGAATGAGATGGATTAAACCCAAAACACTGAACTGTGCTTGAACTGAGAGGACAGAAAGAGCGAAGGGGGAAAAAAAAAAGCAAAACAGGGCGAAAAACATCCAAGCGTCCGTCCAAGTTTCCAGAAGAAGCCCAACTCTCCCTCTGCAATCAATGTAATACCGCTCTGAATATGAAGGAGGAATTATTTCCAGGCAGAGGAAATAATCATGTGACCATAATCTGATTTGAGTCACCTGTGCATGAGCGGACTTTATTTTGTATTATTAATCAGTCCCTTGGTGAGAGATATTGAACGATGGACATCTAATAACAATAGTAATAGTAAAAGACAGAATGATGGATTGGATCAGAGATGCCCAAACTAGGGCCTTTGGGTCAAAGTTGGTCCATGGTAACCTTTAGGGCAGTGGTTCTCAAACTGTAGTACATGTACCACTAGTGGTACGCGGGCTTACTTCTAGTGGTACGCAGAGGAATCACTGAGTAATGAATTTGATGCATACAAAAACACCAATGTTATCAGCATTTGACTGTTCTCTAAAGCCTACGATCAAAGCGCTGTGCATAAAATGTTTCCTTTAGTGCATCGCGTCATCCGCTGCTAAAAATCGATTTAATTGGCGCAAAACTAGGTGCGTGGTGCTTGCAGAGCAGATACTTGCTAGAGCAGTGGTCTCAAACCCTCGGGCCACAGACCGGCACCAGTCTATAGATCAATTGGTACCAGGTCGCACAAAATTTTTTTTTATATTAAAATATTATATTTTATATTATATTATTTTTAATTTAAAAATTAATTATTTCTGTTTTATTTATTATCCGAGTCTGAACAATCATTTATTTTGAAAAAAAAACTTTTATTTTGAAAATGACAGTATTTTCTTGTTACATCTTGGTCACTTGAGTGCCAAAATTTAACCCACAGGCTAGCAAAAGAGTAAGAACTGCAGCACAACACGCTTGCGTATTCCAGGTGTACCCAGTTGAAAACATCTTAGCTTTTTAGGATGCCGTACAACGAGTCACGTGACATGAACCGACTGATCAGCTTCATATTTTGTATGGAATATAATTTCGTTGAATGAATAGGTCTCTGCCTCCTTTTCGAACTCTTCAGTGCTGTAGCTGCTTAATTTGGTAGCCAACTACAGTACTTTATTTCAATACTGGTGATGATGGTGGTACTTGGAGAGACAATTTTTTTCTGAGGTGATACTTGGTGAAAAAAAGTTCGAGAACCACTGCTTTAGGGCATGGCAACCCCCCACCTCACCTGAAAAGAAAGGGAGAAGGATAGGGAAGGTTTGGGCAAATCGGGCAAAATAGAAATTGTCAATTCTAATTTAATATAACTTTGTTTGCTTGTTTAATTGTTGAGCAACAAAAAATGCTACAAGAAATTAAACGTTAGAGTCAAATGTTCTGTTTTTAAGATTGTTAAAATGTAAATACTGTTACTTGATAGATAGCAGACAAAGCACAAGACATTGGCAGTGAACTCAATTGGGTTCTAAATAGGACTGTTTATGTTTTTGTAAAAATATAAATAAGTTTATATTGATAATATTAATAAATTTGTAAGAACTTAATTTAAAAATGTATATACACAACAGTTCTCTCTGATTCTCGAATCTGATTGGCTGATAGCCAAGCAATATTCTGCACTCGTACAGCTCGTCATCCTTGTGTATTACTCTGCCCACATAGTGACAGCAGATCAATAAACTCAGTACAGTTTGACAAATATTACAGCTGTTGGACAACATAATGTACTGTAGAGGCATTTTTAGGCGAGAATTAGTTGTTTAGATTGTAACTATGCAGTTTATTTATAAGGACAGTCCTTTTTTGAAATAATTATAATTTTGGAGATTCAGCTCATTGGCGGCTATCAGCCTGTCATGGTAAACAGAGCAAAGACGGTTGAAGTTTCGCCACAAGACGGCGACAGACCACAAAATAAGTCCTTTGAGGAGAAAAACTGCATACACTTCAACCTACAGCTGATTAAATCATTATAAAACAGGTAAATGACATTTTAAGTCGATCTCTCTCTTTGTATGCTGTAGAGCTGTATTTATATTTATACATTGTATTCTGGAAGTGTTTGCTTTGCTTTAGCTTTTTCAAGGTTAATTGTTGTGATCTCCTGATTCCAACAGAGAAATACTGGGAAATCTCTGCAGACTGATGGCATTTCATGCTGTTCAGCCTTATAATCTTAAAATGTGAGCAAAATCTGCTGTTTTGTCTTCACTTTAGACATTACGCTAGAGAATCATTTAAATACTAGCTCTAAAATGGCGTGTTTTTGAGCAATGGTTTCTGCTATTCTGACAGTCAGCTGTAGATGTGAATGAGCAGCGGAAGTAGCTCCTTGTAAAAAAGCATTTAAGGCACTTCGTGTTTGATTTTCTTTTTGATATACACGATTATGCCGTCGAACTGTTGGAGTAGTGTGATAAGGCTGTATATCATCACTGGTGAAACACTAAGGCACTCGGCTCTAATAAAATATTAATAAAATAGGCCCTAAAAATAGCAATTAACCAAGAAAACTTTAATGTAATACAGTTTGGTATATTTACCTTTGGCCTGCCAACCTCAATAAAGTTTGGTTTTTGGCCCTTCATAAGAAAAAGTTTGGGCACCCCTGGATTAAAATTTTCTCCGGATGTTGGTAACAACCAAAAAAATCCATTTATACAAACAAAACAAATCTAATTAGTTTACAAATGAAGTTATGTGTAGTAAAATGACGCAGAAAAAAATTATTGAACACATGAAGAAAGGGAGATGTAGAAGAGCAGTGAAAGCCCAGACAGCAGCTGAAATCTCAGTGTTCTTTAGCAATCCTCTGCCCTTCCTCAGTGTAAATTAATATTAGCTGCTTCAGTCCAACATCTACATTAGCAGGATAATGAAGATGAAACCAGAGTGGACATTTCTGCAAGACGATGATCCAAAACACAGCCAAGAAAACTCTTTTAGA